ACAGAGAGAGAGAGAGAGGGAAGGTGAGAAAGCAAGCCACCAGGTCCAGGACTTGAACCAGGGTTGGCTGGCCATGTAGGAGTATCCAGCATCTTAACCACCATGCCAACTGCTGGCCCTAAGATCTGATTTGTTAATAAAGAACTATCTAAAGTATTTTATTTCTAGAGTTTTCTTCTAGAATATATGAAAAGGCATAGCCTCAGTGCTGCAGACAGTAGTATGCTGAACTGCAGTGCTGGAAGCATCATGGCCAGCTATGGCATGTTACCTCTCACTGTCTCTGTCTCTATCTTGGGTAGACCTTAAACATACTGGATTGGGGGCCAGCAGGTGGTGTGGTGGATAAGGGTGCTGGATTCCTACATGGCCAACCATGGTTCAAGTCCTGGACCTGGTGGCTTGCTTTCTCACTTTCCCTTTCTCTCTCTCTCTCGTCAAATAAAGAAAAAAATAGCAAATGGAAATAAATAAACAAATAATTCTTAAAAAAAAAAAAATACTGGATGAGCTTACTCAGGATCCTGATAGGCTGAAGGGCTGGAGGAGGAGATCACTGTATGAGGAAATCTTGTTGAAGATCTCTCTCTCTCATGAAATAAAATTTTTTAAAAGGAAAAATTATAATATAGGAAGAAAGTACAGGGACTAACAGTTGGCATAATGGCTATGTTATGCTGCTCCCATATATAGTTGACTGTGGTTAGAATCCTGGACCTGGTGGCTTAAGTCATGCTGGGCACATGTGTGTGCATGCCCAAGATCCCAGGAGGAGAAGGGATTGTGGCATGGCCATCCCCGCGGCAGGTGGGGGTGGTGGTAATTCTTGCTGTCCCTCTGTCTTTCCAGCGAGCGCACATACCCTATAGCAAAAACCTCTCAAAAAAAACGGAAGAAAGTACATATGCTTTAAGAAATAATAGCTTTGTTGATTTATAATTCACCCATTTAAAGTACAGAATTCAATGGTTTTCAGTATGTTTTCAAACTTGTATAATCATTACCAAAATCAGTTTTAAAATACTGGGGGCCAGCAGGTGGCATGGTGGTTGGGGTGCTGGACTCCCACATGGCTGATCATGGTTCAGGTCCTGGACCTGGCTGCTTGCTTTCTCTCTCTATATAAATGTGTGTTTGCCTCTCTCTTATGAGCACCCATGCCCTAAAGCAAATTAAAATAACAATAATAATAAATAAAATTAAATAAATAATTATAAAAAGGGACCAGCCAGTGCCATGATGGTTAAGGTGCTGGACACTCCCACATGGCTGACCACGTTTGAGTCCCAGACCTAGCGGCTTTCTTTCTCACCTTCCCTTTCTCTCTCTCCCCTTCTCTCTCTCCCTTTCTCTGTGCTCTGGTCATATTAAAATAAAATGAATAGATAAAATTAAATTTAAAAAATAATTCTAAAAAAAGCTTTTATCATCCTGAAAAGAAACACTGTCCTCATTAGTAGTCACTTCCTGTTCTCCCCACCCCCAAAAGTAGTTTTTTGTGATTGGCTTCTTTCACTTAGCAAAATGTTGTCAAGGGGCATCCATGATGTAGCATTTATCAGTATTTCACTCTTTTTTATGGCCAGAGAATATCCCATTGTATGGATATGTCCATTCATTAATTGATGGGCACCTAAATTATTTATACTTTTTGGCTATTATGTATTATTTTACTAAGAACATTCATGGACAAGTTTTGTGTGGACATGTTTTCATTTATCTTGGGTATATGCCTACAAGTAGAATTGCTGAGTCATATGGTGATTTCATGTTTAACATTATGAGGAGCTGCCAAACTCTTTCACAAAGTAGCTGTACTATCTTACATTCCTATCAGCAATATATGAGAGCTCCATTTTCTCTGCATCCTTATTAGCTCTTATTATTATCTTTTTTTTCTTTTTTTGGGGAGAGGTTTTTGCTATAGGGCGCATGCGCTCACCAGAAAGACAGAGAGACAGAAAGCGAGAAATTACCGCCCCAGGGGGATGGCCATGCCGCAATCCCTTCTCCTTCATTCTCCTCTCAGGATCTTGGGCACCCACGCACACGTGCCTGGCATGATTTTAAGCCACCAGGTCCAGGACTCAAACCGTGGTCGACGACTTGAGAGTCCAGTGACATAGCCATTATGCCAACTGCTGATCCCTATTATCTCTTTTTAAATTAATAATTATTTAGCTTTATTTGTTACTATTTTTTAATTATTAATTTTTATTTATTTATTTTAATTTGACCAGAGAGACAGAGAAAGTGAGAAAGCAAGCCACTAGGTCTGGGACTTGAACCATAGTTGGCCATGTGGGAGTGTCCAGCACCCTTAACCACCATGCCACTTGCCAGATCCTGCTCAATTTATTTTTTTCAAATTAATTGTTTTATTATTTTATTAGACTCATATGCCTTTTTAAATTTTTAATTTGCTTGTTATTGTTTCTTTTTATTTTTAAATTTTTGGGAGAGGTTTGTGTTATAGGGTGCATGCACTCACCAGAGAGACAGAGAGAGACAGAGAGATAGAAAGTGAGAAATCACCACCCAGGGGGATGGCCACGCTGCAATCCCTTCTCCTCCATTCTCCTCTTGGGATCTTGGGCACACATGCACATGTGCCTGGCATGAGTTTAAGCCACCGGGTCCGGAACTCGAACTGCAGTCGACTACATGGGAGTCCAGTGACACAGCTGTTACGGTAACGGCTGATCCCTGTTATTATTGTTATTTAATATGCTGTCAGGCACATGTGCTCTCCCTGGCCGACTGCAATTCAAGTCCTAGACCTGGCATCTTGCTTTCTCACTTTCCCTCTCTCTTTCACTCCATCCCTCTCTGATCAAATTAAAATTAATTAATTAATGAATTAATTACGTGAAATAAAGTAAAATATTAAAAAAAAGAAATTGAGCATCTTTTCATGTACTTATTGGCTATCTAAATATATATGTATGTATATATTTTAGGTTTTTGCCATAGGATACATGTGCATGCCACAGAGGGACAGAGATAGTGAGAGGGAAAATGAGAAATCACTACCCAAGGGAGATGGCTATGCTGCAGTCCCTTCCTCTCCATTCTCCTGAGATTTTGGGTACACAAGCGCATGTGCTTGGTGTGATTTTCAAGCCACTGGGCCTGGGACTCGAACCACAGTTAGCCATATGGGAATCCAGTGCTATAACTGCTATGCCACAGGCTGGCCCCAGCCATTTATTTATCTTTTTTTGAGAAATGTTTGTTCAAATCTTTTGCCTGTTTTTCAACTGGGTTTTCTGTTATATTGTGTAAACATTATTTACTGGGTCCTAGTACCTAATCAGTCACAGTGGAGTTTCACTACCTGCAGGAGTTACGTTCTATTAAGTCACCAGGAACACAGGCATTGCTCTTAGGGGAAATGTGACATATATGTACATACATAGCTCACGTAGATTATAATCTGAAATCCTAAAAACAATTCTAGTAGCTTCTAGTTTCTTTATTTTGTAAAGAATAAGAAAATCTCACAAGTAGCAACTTACCTGTGGCTACCCCCATTAACTAACTCCCCCAGAGGTGGGATTCCTACTCTATTCAACTCTCCCCAGAGCCAGAGCCAGAACTTCTGGATCCAGACTACACTGTTCCATACTGTCTTCGTCCTCCAGTGATCTCTGTCTGAGACTTGAAGCCGGGCAACTGAGTGCTCGTTCAGTTTCAGCACAGAGCATCTATATCATTTTGTTGATCTGTGCATGTCTGCAAATGACCAGGGAAAACTATGAGAGTACTGATTTTGAGGTTACGAAATCAATTTTAGGAAGTAGTGCAGTTCCCAAATAGGAAATCCACTAAGAAGAATTGACTGGGGGCCAGCAGGTGGTGTGGTGAAAGCACTGGACTCCCATATGTCAACTGCAGTTCGAATCCTGGACCTGGTTTGAACCTGGTGGCTCGCTTTCTCTCTCTCTCTCTCTGATGAGCACATGTGTCTTATAGCAAAGCTTAAAATAATGATAATAATAAGTAATTTTTTAAGAGAGATTTTTGCTGTAGGGCGCATATGCTTGCTAGATAGATGGAGAGATACAGAAATCAAGAAATCACCCCCTGGGGCAATGGCTATGCCACAATCCTTTTTCCTCTGTTCTCTTCTTGGGTTCTTGGGCACGCATGTACATGCACCCAGCATGAGTTTCAAGCCACCAAGTCTAGGAATCGAACCACAGTTGACTATGGGAGTCCAGCAATGTAACCATTACACTATCTGCCTGTCTCTAAAATCAAATAATTCTTTTTTAAAAGAAAAAAAGAATTGTCTGTAGGGCCAGCCCCTGGTTAAGCACAGTGTACCGGGAGCCAGATCTCACATGGCTCAGTGGCTTGAGAAACACACTTGGGGCATGTGCATGTATGCCCAAAATCATAATAGGAAGGAGTAATGGAGCTAATGGGATTGTGGCACAACCAAACCCCATTAGGACATGCTTTGTCTGTCTCTCTCTCTCTTTCAAATACCCTCTGATAATTAAAGGAAAAAAAAATGACTATATATGGCTATTATCTTCTCTAGTTCTGTGAGCTTTCACTTTTTTGATGGTATCCTTTGAATGTAATTATCTTCTCTAGGTCTGCGAGCTTTCACTTTTTTGATGGTATCCTTTGAAACACAAAAGTTTTATTTTGATTTTGTTTTTTTCAACTTGCCAGACTGTGCATGTGCTCACATGACAGAGAGCAAGAGGGAAAGTTTTTTTTTCCCAGTGTGTTGTGGTAATGCCGCAATCCCGTATCCTCCACTTCTTCATCTTGTCTGGAGTCCTGGGGCATGCACCCAGTGCCTAACGTGTTTTTCAAGCCTCCAGGTCTAGAATTTGAATCACATGGTAGCCATGTGGTATCTGGCTCCCTGCACCACTAGGTTATGGGACAGCCCAAAAGTTTACATTTTGATGAAGTCCAATTATGCATTTATTTCTTCTGTTGCTTGGGTTTTGGTGTCATGTCAAAGAAGGCTTTGTCTTATTCGAGATCATGGGAATTTACTCCCATGTTTTCTATTAAGTTTTATAGCTCTGGGACCAGAAGATGGCATAGTGGTTACAACGCTAGACTCCCACATGGCCGACTAGTATGTTTAAGTCCTGAACCTGATGTCTTGAAAATTATGCTTTACATGTGTGTGTGGGTGCCCCAGATCTCAGGAGAATAGAGAATGGATTGCTGCATGGGCATCCCCTCTAGGGGGTGATTTCTCACTTTCCTTCTCACTGTCTCTGTCTCTCTCTCTCTGGCAAGTTCTGGTGCTCTAAGGCAAACACCTCTTTAAAAAAAAGGTTTTATAGTTTTAGCACTCACACGCAGGTCTATGATGCATTTTAAGTTAATTTCTATGTATAGTATAAGGAAGAGGTTCAATTCTATTATTTTCCCTATGGATAGGCAGTTATCCTTTTTATTTTAAAGGATTATTTATTTGATTTTATTTGTTATTGTTATATTTTAATTTGACCAGAGAGAGAGAAAAAGGAAAAATGAGAAAACAAGCTCCCAGGTCTGGGATTTGAACCATGGTTGACTATGCCTTAACCACCATGCCACCTGGCAGCTTCATATCCAGTTATTCTGTACCATTTGTTGAAAATACAATTCTTCCCCTATAGAATTGTTTTGAAAGTCTTAAATAAAATCAATTGACTATAAATTTAAGGTTTCATATTTGAACTCTCAATTCAGTTTAATCTACATTTCTATTTTCACACTGTCTTGATCAATGTAGTGTTTTTTAAAGAATTATTTATTTATTTAATTCCATTTGTTATTATTATTTTTTAATTTGACCATAGAGAGACAGAGAGAGAAAGGGAAGGCAAGAAAGCAAAGCCACCAGGTCCGAGACTCAAACTGCAGTCAGCCATATGGGAATCCAGCACCTTCAACCACCAAACCACCATACCACCTGCCAGCCCTGATCAATGTAATTTTATAATAAGGTTTTTTTTTTGGAGAGGTTTTTGCCATAGGGCGCATGCGCTTGCCAGAAAGACAGAGAGACAGAAAGTGAGAAATCCCCCGGGGGGATGGCCACGCCACAATCCTTTCTCCTCCATTCTCCTCTCAGGATCTTGGGCACGCATGCACACGTGCCCTATAATAAGTTTTGAAATTGAAAAGCGTGAGACCTCCAACTTTGTTCTCCATATGCCTTCTGAATATTTTTTAAATCTATTTTTAGATTATAGGGAAATGAAACTATTGGACTGATCAGAGAACCCCAATATATTAAAGTAAAATTTGTAAGTTATATAAGGTATATTCTGAGAATCAAAGAAATTTTTTTCTAGTGTCTTTTCTGCACTATTGAACTCAGTTTAGTTACTGCTAAAACATGTCGTGAAATGATCATGACTTAATGATTCTTTAAACCTTCTAGTGTTTAAATTATTTAAAGTTGTTTTTTTTTCCTGTCTGTTTAGGTAGGTGGAGAGTTTTCGAATGTTGTTATCCCCCAGATGAAGCTATTTGGAAGAATCGCTATATGTGGGGCTGTCTCTACATATAACAGGACCCACGCTCCTCCCCCAGGTAATGAGCTCATGCACATGATTCAGATGTAGGAAGACCAAATGAGGAGAAGATTTAAAGATGGTATAGGCCAGTGACTTTCAAAATATTCGACTGATTTTCTGATATTTTCGATGAAATAAACCGAAATAGTATCTATTAAAATAAAAATATAGAGGCCAGAAGGTGGTGTAGTGGTAGGACTCCCCCTGGGCGACCGTGGTTTGAGTCCTGAACCCAGAGCCTTAAAACTCAGACTGAGTGTGTGTGTATGTGTGCCCAGGTTCTAGGAAGAAAGTAGAGGAAAAGGGATTGTGACCTGGTCCCCCAGGGGGTGATTTCCTGCTTTCTGCCTTTCTGTCCCTTAAGCAAGTGTACATGCCCTATACCAAAAAATAAATAAATAATCCCTTTAGCAAGTGTAAATGCCCTATACCAAAAAATCTCCTCTAAATAAATAAATAATATTAAATTTAAAAAAAATACAAGACCTGATGGTTGAGGAAGTCAGATCCCACATGGCTGACCTTGACTTTGTGGCTTGAGAAATACACTGGACATGCGTGCATATGTGCTCAAAATCCTGAAAGGAGTGAGGGATGGAGAAGGGATTGCGGTTTGATGATTTTCCACTGTGGAATATTTTTTTCTCCCACCCCCCCCCAAAGCACATGTACCCTTTTGCAAATTAAAAAGAAAAAAATATATATATAGTCTAATATAATCAGCTTGTATTAGATTTAGATATAGATAAATAGCAGAATCTGAAAATATAGAAGCACAGTTATTCAAAGTTTTCATTCTTTTACCCATCGTCTTCTGCAGAGTTGTGGAAAGATAGCCGTGATTAATTTAGAAACCAAGCACCATGGTCTGGCTGATAAAATGTTTGAGCTCTTCAAGATATTAGAGAGGTTGCTGATGGTGTGGGGATGGGTAGAGGGTAACTTGATGCGGAGAAGAGAAGGGTGGCTGCCTTGGCATACGAAGTCTTGGGAAGTGCTTCCTAGAGCGGCAAGATGCCTTGATCTCACCAGGCTGACAATTTCCACTAATGGGAAAGGGGCGTGTATTTCCTCCTTTCCTTGATGGTCCTTGTTTTGTTTCTCCTGTGTCCTGCCATGCCTTTATCCTACACATCTCTATTCTTTTATGCTGAAACCACCCCTCCCACCTCCACACTCACAGAGATCCAAAAGCAGTGTTAACTACAGAACAGTATTATTAAATGCCAATCCTATGAGAGGTCGTGCAGGCCTCCTGTTTTACAGATGGGAAGATGAATGGCCAAGACCAGCAACTCTTTAAATCTTCTTAGCAACAGAAGACTGGTCTTCTGATCTCCTCATAGAGAGTCCTTTTCTGCTGCAATGAATGCTATTAACGAGATTACAGATTTACCTGTGATCCCCAAAATGGAAAAGACAAAAAGGAATCTTCCAAATTAGAATCAAGATCTAGGCAACCATGAATCAATTGGGTGTTCATTCAATGATGCACTTGACTAATGCAAATGAAACTTTATAGCCCAGCTAGTTAACAACACTGTAACTGCACTGGGACAGGTAGGCTGGGGTGGAAGGAGCTGAGGAAAGATAGCTTGTGAATTCCTTTTTGGAATCCACAGAAGAGTCGGACACTGCATTCTCCAAAAAAGAAATTAATATTCACTTGGTGATCATATAGTTAGGGACTTTTTTTTTCCCTCTTGTAGTTTCCTAATTGGTGTTAAGCTATGAGGTTGTCAAGGAAGTCATGACATATTTTCTCTTTTTCTATGCAAAAATGTGTCATGACTTTCTCAACAACCCAATAGAATCATGGGAAATCTTCTTGAACAAAACTGTAGGATGTATTTTCTTAACCACAGTCCAGTTAGACATAACCAAAAATTTTGGATACAGTAACTTGATCTAGTCTTTTTAGCAATTAGCCTTTGGTAGTTCAGCTGCTCAGATAGGTCTTTGAGACATCAGCTGGCCTTGTCCATCCCATTTTTTTAAAATTAATTTTATTTATTCTTTTTTTTTTGGGGGGGGGAGTGGTTTTTGCTATAGGGCGCATGCGTTCGCCAGAAGGACAGAGAGAGACAGAAAGATAGAAAGCGAGAAATCACCCCCCAAGGGGGATGGCCACGCCGCAATCCCTTCTCCTCCATTCTCTCAGGATCTTGGGCATGCACACACACACACACGCCCAGTGTGAGTTTAAGCCACCAGGTCCAGGACTTGAACCATGGCTGACTACATGGGAATTCAGTGACATAGATATTATGCTAACTACTGGTCCCTATTCATTTATTTATTTTAATTTGACCAGAGAAAGACACAGAAAGAGAGAAATGAGAAAGCAAGCCACCAGGTCTGGGACTCAAAATGCAGTTGGCCATGTGGGAGTGTCCAGCACCTTAATCACAATACCACCTGCTGGTCCCCTGTGCATTCCATTTTAATTAGGTAATATTCTACTTAGCCTCTGATCCTCAGACATTCTAACATAACTCAGAAACAAGTTATTATTTCCATCAGCTCTAATCTCACATTTGCTTTTTTGCTCTCAAAAAAGAAACCAACATTCTCATCAAGATAGATAAGCCCAGAAACAGTACTACACTCGTTCAAGCTGAAAAAATGACAACTCTAATCCCTACTCCAAAAAATATTGTTGCTGTGTCTTCTGAAGGAACCTGTCTGCAAGAACAGTCTAGCATCTGGATGTGTCACTCGCATATCTCACTCATCTTGTCTCAGTTTCTTTGGGTTCAGGACAAATCTCTATTCGTCTGACTGCTCGTGTTTACTTTCTTCAAAGTAGTGACTGAGAACTTTTTTAGCCTTGAGTAATACCAGTTATTAGGAACACTGAAGATAGGCTACACCACTCATCCTGACTCTTCTGGCCTGGATATTCCCCAGATATCTTCACTGGACTTCTTGGGATGTATAAGATTATGTTCAGGTGTCATTCCTTCAGTTTCTGGTGAATCAGAATCCTTGGTAAAATAAACCAGGCAACCAATACAACCTTTTTTTTTTTTCTCACAGAGAAGAGTACTATCTTCTCTATAGGCTGCAGGGGAGCCTTGTGCTTTTTATAGGCTAGCATAGGCCCAGGATTGGTAGCATCACCATCTCCTGGGAACTTGTTAGAAACATGAATTCTTAGGATGCACCACAGATCCCACCCCAGATCCACAATCAGAAATTGGAGAAGGGTGGGGTTGGCAGGTGGCGTGGACTCCTACATGGCCAACCGTGGTTAGAGTCCTGGACCTGGTGGCTTGCTTTCTTACTTTCTGTCTCTCTCTCTCTCACGCTGTCCTCTCTGGTATGTATGTATGAATAAATAGATAAATAAACAGATACATAGATATAGGAGAAGGGGCTCAGAAATCTCTTTTCACCAGCCCTCCATGTGATTTTTATATACATGCAAGTTTGAGGCCCACTGTTCAGCCTATCTGTTGGTATCCTGATATGGGGAGGGCAGGGTGGAGTAGGGTCAGACATGAGGGTTGTGGAGTCTCCTGATCTATACTCCCATAAAGCCTCTTAGACTGGAGGTAGATATGAGTTGTTTTGTGTCTCTTCTGAGATGAGAACAACACGAGTTTATGCCATAGAATGACAGTATCAAGCCATAAAGAAAAACATGCTAAGTATTGGGAATCTCAACATATTTACCTGTATAATGAATAATCTCCCTCTCACAAGGCTCTTAAATTACTCACGTCTGCAAAGTCCTTTTCATAAGATTTGAGGTTTTGAATATGGACATACTCAGGGCCATTATACTGTCTACCATAAAATGCATGTTGATTAGTCAGCAGCCCCAAAGGTTAGAAAAGAGTAAAGAAATGGAAGGGAGAGGCACCGGGTAGTGACAGTGATTTGCACTGCTTGTGTTTTGGCCACCTCTCTGGACTCTGTCACTCAGATGTGTCCTTCTATTTATAGGCCCACCCCCAGAGATTATCATTTATCAGCAACTCCGCATGGAAGGGTTCATCGTCTCCCGCTGGCAAGGAGAGGTCCGCCAGAAAGCTCTGAAGAACTTGCTGAAATGGGTCTTGGAGGTAAGGGGCTCCAGATCATTGCCTTCACAATATAATCTTACTTTTACCATGTTAAAAAGGAAAGAAAAAAAAACACAAAACAACCTCTCTAGACCTCATTTTCACAGCAAATAAGGTCCATTTCACTGTTCCCTTTTCTATAAAAAAAATGCCTGGAAGTGTTACCTACACTCACTGTCTGTAGTTCCTCTCTTTCCATTCTTCCTTGAACCCATATATTGAGTTTTTGACCTGCTGCCATCCTACCAAATGATTTTTGGCAAGGTCATAGAAATCCCTTACATTGTGAAATCCAGTGATTAATTCCTAGCATCCACTTGGTAATGGGGAGTATTTGACATCATGATGACTCCCTCCTTGGTATACTGTCTTCCCTTGCCTTATTTATTAAGTTTTTTCTTTCTTTCATGACAGGGTCTTGCCACATCATGATCTTTCCCCTAGCCTCTCAGTCAACTCGGATCATAGGCACACCCACCAGCACTGGGCTCCTTGACTTATTTTAGCCCTTTGTTTTCCTCACTGATTTTTCTTCTTCAGACTCTGGTGTTAGCTTCTTTTCTTCTCTCCAAATTCATAAAAAGGTGCCCTAGTACGTGGTAATTAGGCAGCTTTTCTTTTCTTTTTTTTTTATAATTATTTATTTTATTTTTTATTATTCATTCATTTATTTTTTAATTTGACCAGAGAGAGACAGAGAGTGAGAGTGAGAGAGAGAGGAAGTGAGAAAGCAAGCCACCAGATTCAGGACTCGAACCCTGGTCAGCCATGTGGGAGTGTCCAGTGCCTTAACCACCACACCACCTGCTGGTCCCTAGGCAGCTTTTCTTCTCTATTCATATTCTACTTATCCCTTAGCTCATCCAGACTCATGTTAAATACCATCATTATGCTGACAGCTACCAAATTTCTATTTCCAGCCAGGACCTCTCCCTTGAACTCCTAACTGGTATATCAGTTCAACAGCTTCTCTTGGATGCCTAACATACATCTCTGACTTAATGTGTCGAAAACAAAATGTTTTGCTCTTTACTGCCAAATGAATTCCATATTCAGGCTTCAACATTTCAGTTATGACAATTCTACCATTGTAGTTGCTCAGTCCAAAAATATGAAAATCATCTTTGATTTGTTTTCTTGCATACCCATGTATAACCTGTTAAGAGATTCTACTGGCTCACCCTCCAAAACACATTCAGAATCTGGCCATTTCTTTCACTTTTTCTGCTATCACCCTGATCCAATCACCATTCTGTCAGCCTAGATGTCTGCAGTACCCTCTATCTGGTCTTCCATTTTTGTGCCCCTCTAGACAATTTATAACACATCAGCCAGAGTGATTTTTTTTTTTTAAGATTATTGCCATAGGGCATGTGCATTCACCAGAGAGAGACAGTGAGAGGGAAAGTGAGAAATCATCCTCCATGGGGGATGGCCATGCTGCAGTCCCTTCTCCTCCATTCTTTTCCTTAGATTTTTAGCATGCATACATGTGCACCCAGCATGAGTTTCAAGCTGCCGGGTCTGGGGCTTCAACCATGGAGTTGACCATGTGGGGATCCAATGCCTTAATCACGTGCTACCTGCTAGACTCAAGTCATCGCTTAAAGCATAAATCAAACCATGCTATTCTTTATCTCTTATCCCTACAAAATCCCCATTTCACTTAGAGTAAATCCAAAATGCTTATAATAATCTATAAGACTGTGCACAATCTGGCCCCTGGTAAATCCAATTTCAATTTAGTACTTACCCCCTTGTTCAAACCATAGATAAACTATTCTTTATCTCTTATCTCTTATCCCTACAAAATCCCCATTTCACTTAGAGTAAATCCAAAATGCTTATAATAATCTATAAGACTGTGCACAATCTGGCCCCTGGTAAATCCAATTTCAATTTAGTACTTACCCCCTTGTTTACTTAGTCGTCTCCCCATCCCTAACCCTACTCCTCTGTAACTGCTTGCTTAATTCTCTTACTTCTTTCAAGGCTTCAATAAAACATGCCTCTGAATGAAGCAACTTTTAAAATGATCCTTTTTAAATTGTCAATACCCCTTCATCCCTGACCCTCCTTATCCTACTTTTATCCACAGCAATCATCATCTTTTAACATAATACATACTATAACTCACTCATTTATATTTATTGCCCATCTCCATCATCCCATGAGAATATAACCTCCATGAGGTCATCAGTGTTCATGCATTTCGTTTTCTGGTGTATCCCTAGCATCCAGAGTAACATCTGAATCAGTGTAGGCATGAGATTACATATTGTTGAATGACTAAATAAATGTTAGAGTGGCACATATATGTGCCCTGGCTCTTCCAGGTCCCACAGAGGAAGAGTCTTCTTATAACCATGCCTTTGGATCAAGAGGAAAAAGTCAACCCCATTATCCTTTGATGTGATAATTTTTCCACCTTATACTATGTGGAGTTTAATTAACAGAAAGCTGAGGTGCAATATTTTAGTTTTAAAAGAACACTGGGTAACTCACTTCCTAATTTCTGGCTTTTGGGATTTCTCAATGCACAGAAATAGACATATAGTCCAGGAACCTGGAACTTGGTGCTTCTCCCAGTCACCACTTGGAGTTCTGGGCTCAACTCTCTCTCGGGAGCCAAGAAGAGCCACATTAAATTCTCAGCGTATAGCCTTCTTGGGGAAATTTAATCCAGCCCACTCATGATCATGGATGACAAGAAACCACTGTGCTAATGTCCTTAACACTTCCTCTACGTGAAGTTGATTATAGTTCTAGGTAACTAGTAAGTTAACCTAATTTCTTTCTCATCTTTTTTTTTTTTTCTTGCTTCCATTTTTAAAAACTGCTTTTATTTTAGAACAATTTTAGATTTACAGAAAAATTGAGAAGACAGTACAGAGAGCTCTATTATACCCTGCATCCTGTACCCCAATTCTATTATTAATGTTTAATTTTTGTATTTATGTTGATTGGCTAAAGCTGCTATACAAAGTATAACAGAATGAGTGGCTTAAGTAAGAGAAAGATTTTCTCACAGTTCTGAAGGCTAGAAGTCTGAGATCAAGGTGTCTGCAGGGTTGTTTCTTCTGAGGCCTCTTCCTGCATCTTCATGTCATGGTTTGTGTGTGTGTGTGTGTGTGTGTGTGTGTGTGTCCCCTAATCTCTCACACAGATACCAGTCAAGACTGGCTCTATGACTTGGTAGTTAAGGCACCTGAATCCCACATGGCTGGCTGTACAGTTCAAGGCCTGGACCCAGTGGCTTGAGAAACATGTCAGGTGCATGTGTGCCCCAAATCCCAAGAGGATGAAAAGATGGAGAAGAAGAGATTGTGGCATGACCATGCCCCATTGGGGGTTGCTTTCTCTTGTCCCTTTGTCTGTCTCTCTGGCACAGTGTCATTTACAAAAAAAAAAAAAAAATCATTTTGGATTAGGACCCACTGACGTGACCTTTTCACTTTAATCACCTCTTAAAAGACCTTATCTCCGAATACAGTCACATTCTGAGGTACTGGGGGTTAAGACTCAAACACTGAATTCTGAGGGTGAGGAAGAGGGACACAGTTCCATCCATAACAGTATTCATTCTCTATTTCTAACCCTTGAACTGGATTCTAGCTTTCCAGCCTATCCAGATTTCTGCCTTTTCAAGAAAGAGGAGCTAGAGCTTGCAAATCAAGATTTAAAATCCCAGCTTCCCTACTTTCTAGTTAAGTGACCCCAAGAAATCCATCTCATCTCTAACTCCATGAGGGTGTTAAACTAGCACTAGAGTACATTAGGAGGAGAATGGTGCGAGGTGACTCAGGTTTCTACATCAGTTTATTGATTTATTTTTCATCCTTTCATCCATTCATTTTTTATTACCAGAGGGTGCATGCACTTGCCGGAGACAGGAGTAGGGGCAAGAGAAAGTACCATGGAGCATGATCATGCCATAGTCTCTTCTTCTCCATTTCTTCATCCTGTCAAGATTTGGGGCTCACATGCCCAGCTGTTTTTTAAGCTATAGGGGCTGGGATTAGAACTGTGCTCGGCCATGTGAGAACCAGCTCCCTTAACTGCTAAGCAATGGGGCTAATCCAGATCTCTACATTAGGCACTTTAAAATAGAACTTGAATTGTAAATTAGTCCCACTTAGTAGACTGTAACTTATACCAGACAGAGAAATGAAAAACCTTCCTCACTTTAATCATTCCTTTACACACGCCTAATAAATGTTAGACCTTGGGGGCCAGCAGGTGGCATGGTGGTTAAGGCGCTAGACCCTCACATAGCTGTCGTCACTGTTTGAGTCCTGGAACTGGAGACTTGCTTTCTCACTTTCTCTCTCTGGTCAAGTTAAAAAAAGTAATAATAGGGGCTGGAGATGGCATGATGGTTAGGGTGCTGGACTCCTACATGGCCGACTGTGGTTCAGGTCCGACCCGGTGGTTTCCTTTCTCACTTTCCCTCTCTCTGGGCAAGTTAAAAAAAAATAATAATAATGGTAATAATTAATAAAATTAAATGAAATAATTCCTTTAAGAAAATAATAAATTAAATAGTTATTTAAAAATAAATATTAGACCCACATTGAAATAATTTTGGGGACCTGGGACCAGCAGGTGGCATGGTGGTTAAGGTGCTGAACACTCCCACATGGCTGACCACGGTTTGAGTCCTGAGCCTGGCAGCTTGCTTTCTCAATCTTTTTCTCTTTCTGGTCAAAATAAAATAAATGAATAAATAAAATAAATAATATAAAAAAAGAATTTGGGGGACCAGCAGATGGTATAATGGCTACACTGTTGGACTCCCATGTAGTTCAAGTCCCAAAGCTAGCAGCTTAAAACTCACGCCGGGCACATGTGTATGTGTGCCCCAAATCCTGAAGAGAATGGAGGAGACAGGATTATGGCATGGTCATACACCCAGGGGGTGATTTCTCACTTTCTGTCTGTCTTTCTCTGTCTCTCTGATGAGCACATGCGCCCTATAGCAAAAAAAAAAAAAAAAAAAAAAAAAAAAAAACTTTTTTTTAAAAAAAAAAAAAAGGAAA